CGCGCCCTCTTTGGAGGACCCGATTCTGAGAAATTAGACCACATCCAGTCAAAAATTACAGAACTCAAAAGTCCCCGAAGTGAGTTAAAAAGACTGTCCTCCTGCATTCAACTAAAGCTTTAGTAGTTTACTGCCAAGTGCAAAACCTACGAGCGCTAGGCTCAAAATCCGTTGCAAAATGAAATACCACAGACTGTTTGCAAAAATGAGCATTTTTAGACTCAGCATTACACTTGCCCCTTCAGAGTTAACTCTAAAACTCAATTATGTAAAACCCGACTTTTTCAGAACTCAAAAATGTGACTAGTTGATGTATTTATTTAAAAAAAAACCCCTTTTTACGATCACAATTCTACAAAATCAAATCACTAAAAATCGCCTGGTGCAGAGCACTTGATACTACTGAGATGTCCCATATGCGTTGAAGAAAGTACCTGGCTATTTTAATTCAGTTCAGGAAAGTTGCAAAGATGTATGTTTCTACGCAACTTCCAGAATAGGGGGACATCGACAATCTTATGGCCACTGGCTACTATTCGTTACCACTCGAGCTATTTCTGTGTGATCCCGCTTCACACGGAAGGCGGGCTGTGCAGGTTCTGATTCCTGGCTTTGATAACGCCTCCAAAGGATAATAAGATGAATGAGCGGAAAAAGAGGGAATGCCGAAACTGCGGCATGAGGTAAAGTCTTCGATTCATTTCTTCCTCCTACCATCAAATTATCAGGCGATCGGTTGCATTTCAGTGAAATTTCGAAAAATTAAAACCGATTTTGAACGGGTCTCGAGCAACCAATGGTCGTCGGCGACTGTTTTCAAGGACGAATGTTTGCTGCGAGGATACAGAATCCGGACGACTGTTGTCGTTTGCTGTGCTCATAACTATTGCCGGAGTAACAGATTGTTGCTTGGCTTTGACGGAGATTCGTGAGGCTGTCGAGGCGGAGGTTCGTCTACTCTGGCTTTGGGGGACAGTCCCTGGCGGGGTGGCCATTTCGTCGCGTCCGATCGCGCTACCGGAACGAACTGCTGGCTTTTCCAGGGAATCGGCCAGACGAAATTTAGCAATCAGCAGCTGTTCACCGAACAGTTCATTGGGTAACGGTTGCAGTGTGTCTGTACTCTCAATTTCGGCTTCCACATAATCAGTTTCCTGAAAAAGAGACAGCAGAAGTTCGTAGTTTTCTGGCAATGGACCCTCTGTCCTGTGGGATACTGTAGGAATGAGGGTCCATAAATTTTGTATTGATGGAAAAGACATTCTTCGTAGGGAGTTGATGGATGATCCCTGGATTACTGTTCTGTGCGAAACGAAAGCGATCTTGGTAATATTGGTAATTGAAGAGAATATGAATGGAAATGAGAAGCAAAAATGGATGGCTGAGAAGCAATTATAATTTTGGTCCCGATTAAAAACCATCAATAATTTGCCTTCCCGAAACTATGTAAGAGAAGAGGAGTGGTGGAAAAGGATGATATTTATGTGATCTAAGAGAACGAATGATACTAGGACAATAATGGTGAGAGGTAGTCATCTGGCATAGTTGCACTCGGCGTGTGGGAGCATCCTAGTAACATCACTAACAGGGGATACCCATGTTGATAGCCCGAGCGGTCTTGATATTCTTGATCATAGTATTCGGCTGATGTTAAACATAAAGTGGTGCCCCTACGATATTAAACGAGCAAGGACAAATATGCTTGAAGTACCATAGCGTGCATATTCTACAGACCAGTTCCCAGGAAACCCTCCTAATTTTCATACTCCCATACTTTTCGAATTTTCTCAAATGTTTCCGGAATTTTCCCTTCCCTATCCCACCGAAAATGAACTTCAAGGGGACTTTTTTGGAGGAAATAAAAATATCTGGGGGAAATTTTAAAAAATACCTGAGTTTCTTCATTTTCGCAAGAAACTGAGCGCCAATTCATCGGTGCCTCAAGTTCTGCAAGCATCTGTATTAACAGAAAGAGAAAATTCTGATAACTGGAGAGTGAAAAAAGTTTACCTGACTTCAACTTCTGAGCTTTTTAAGCTTTCTGCGCATGATCTGTGGAGTAAATCACATTGACTGGAGAATGAAAGGTGGGAGAGTGGCTGCTCTGGAGGAATGTGGAAAGGACCTGGGCCCTGAGGTACTCTTGCTGTGACTCCATATACCGTCGCAGCAGAGGTCTCAGGGAGAAGGTCAAAAGCTTTCTTTTCTCGATTTTAGCAGCACAAATTTGAGCAAAGCTTTAAAGTCTGAGCAGAAATACAGAGAGTAACAATATGTATTGAGGTGGATCACAAATTGTTCCGATGTATTATTACACAGTTCTCACGTAAGGCCTGAAAACGCAGACACCTTAAGTCAGGTTCACGTAAAAGCAGACACACACGCGCACAAACGTAAATATTAAAAAGCTTAACTAAGTAACTGATATTTTTGAATGCTAATCGCGCCAGCCGTGTTGTGCCAACTAAAAGCTTGCTTCAAAAAATTATGCCATTTTACAAGTGTCACTTAGTTTTATGGATATTTTTAATAGTACTGATTTGGATAGCCTTACTGGGCTAGAAAATAGAAAATAAGCATATACGCAATGACGAAGCATTTTTGTGTTAACTTCTCAGTTTAGCTCTGGCAGTAAGTTAATTTAGCGTCCAAACCTGGCCAAGGGGACAGTCCAGAAGAATTTAGTTTTGACAATCAGAGGAAGTATTAATTCCTAGCTTATAAGTCACAAAATCCAGAAAGGTTAACCCCGCCATCCCAAAACCATTTCAAGGATCTTCCAACTCCCCGGGCTCCTAACCGTAGTTTCAAAGGATCGCGGGGCAACTCTAGGGATATAGGAAACTCCCAGGACAGCTCCGAAATCTCTGGAAATCCGATTTCACGGTCATACGATCCAAATCACCATTATGGGACTCTCGGGATGTACCTGGCAAGTAATTAATGTCAAGAATAGCTGGATCTTAGCTCTTATTCCAAGTTGTCAGTTTCTGGAGTTGCTTCATAATCACCGTTATTCAAGTATTCATGACTTGATAATCAGCCTAATCGAGTGAATTTCGGTCTTTGAAGTAACACTCACTGAATGGATGGCGTAAATGACCTTTACAAACACAGAACAGGAAATTTTTGCATTTTGCTCGTCATCCATAATATGTTAATATTGGGGTAAAATGACAATCCTCATCCAATTAGTGCTCGAATATAAAATACCATTCGGTAATTTTATAAATGGCATTATTTCTACCTAAATTATCATGTTTACATTCATTCTCCTTCATACCCCTCAAACTTTTGTGTCCCCAAATGTTCTGGCTAAAAAAACGTGTACTGCTACTACTACGCTCGGCTTTTAATATTGACATTTTTCTACCTAAATTTTCAGGTATATCATCATCCTCCTGTTTATACCCTAAAATCTCTGTATCTCACAAATCTTCCAGCTGAAAATATATGTGACAGCTTTTACGTGTACTACCTGCTACTACTTCGCTCGGAGTCCTATGTCCTAGGAAGCTTTAATACAAATAACGCTTTATAAACTCTTCTCTGAGAATTGTCAATGTTAAAGTGAAGTGTATATGAATATCTGGAGAATCAAAAAAAAAGCAACTAGGACTAGCAGCAGGAATGACCATCAACTGGTAGAATTTTGTACGGAACCTCCAGAAGGATAAAGAAGGGGAAAAGGTGTGCGGTAAATCATGGAGCCCAGAAAAGGAATGGTCAGCGGATGTAATGTGGAAGCCTGCCATGGCTTTTTTTAACCTTTTTTTGAGGCTGTTAGCTTATAACTGTTAGTAGCAGCAAGGAATTTATGCTCACATTAGACAGTAGTAACTTTTAAATATATAATATCACAACTGCCAGGTAACCGGCTGTTGGCGTTCTTCTCTGAACAATCAAAATAACCTTAACGGGTTATCCACCCGATACATAATATAATCTAAGCATTCCTGGAAAACCTTCAGACCCTTTGTTTCTAAATTAATGTGGGCACAAGTAAGCTAGAAATTAAGATCCACGACATATGTGGGACTGTTTAATCGTAGAAAATTTGCACAATCCTCAAATGTTATAACATTTACAGGATTCCTAAATTTTAGACAACTATTCGAACACTGCGGATCCCAGAACACTTTTGCAAGATTTTTGAATTCCAGAAAAGCATTTGCAGGAATTCGAGCCTCAGGCAGGATTTTTGAGTCCAAAAACTTGGCACGATTTACTGGTTACAAAACAACTGCAAGGTTCTTAAAATCTAGAATATCCGCAAGATTTTTGAGTCACAGAAACCCAGTGTGGTTTACTGATCCTAACACATTTGCAAGGCCATGATTTCAAGCACAATTCTTGAATCCCAAAAAACAGGCACGTTTTGTAGGTTCCCAAAAATGGGAGAATTTCCTAAATGATTATTTTTACATTGTTAACATTATTTTTCACTTAATTTTCCGCCTAAATAAGTCACACAGCGCAAAATTTTCCCGCAAAAAGGGTAACGTATTTTAGGCGAAGTTAGAATGCCTGCTAAGTACATCACCGCCAGTCACTTCGTCACTGGGAACGACTGCTATTGCCTGTTGATGTTGCATCATTTGAAAGGGTGAAAGAGGTAAAAAATGAATTTATGATTGCTCTGCTCATGTGCTTTTGTGTAGCAAAATGCTGCAGAATCAGCAGCAGCAAATTCCCTGGGATGGATGATCGAGCGGGCCAAAGCCTCATCCTTGAAGTGATGAAAGCTGACGTTATGATAGTTTTGTGGATCAACCGAATGCAAAATTTTGGAGGTACCGAGGCCGATGAGGCTGAGTAACGTCTTCCTGGAATAATGACTCCCTTGTGTGTACGCAAGACACACACACACACACACACACACGTACAGACATATACACACAGACACATACACACACGTACAGAAACAAACACCAGTGCCCTAGAAAAGAACAGTCGAACGAACACAGAGCAATCTGCAGTGCGAGCCAGGGCGACCATCCTGGAGCACTCGATTTTTACATTTCTGTCTAAAACTCTTTTTTTATGTGGTGGAACTGGCACGACAGGAACGAGGACAAGATATATTTGATGGGTGGGGGCGGGTACCCGGTGACGGGGGGATACGGGAAGGAGCCAGCAGCGCCCGGCACAAACCCGGCCCGTCTGAACGGGCGTGACACCGCCGCCTGGTACGCGCAATCCCCCCCTCCCCAGCAGCCAGCGCCACCTCCATCCATCCATCCGAACATTGATCCAGCCCCACACCACCAGCAGCAGGAGCAGCAGCACCAGCACCAACAACCACAGCAACAGCAAAAGCCTATAACAAAACCACTAAAACACA